GTCTATGGCCAAACAGACATTTATGAGCAAGCATCTGACTAGACGGGTATCTATTTTATGCTTGATATAAATTCATTTTGTACTGAAATTACATATTTACCTGGTGTGGGTTCCGATCAATAATTGACAGTTCTTTGAATTTAAGCTTGCAAGAGTACTGACTACTTCCCTTGATGTGCATTGTGCCATAGTGGTCACAATAAATTTTCCCTATAATGATATTGTATATGGAAGTAGTAACTTTACTCCACTGGAATTTCTCCCCATCATCAAATTGAAGGGTTAGAACGCCTATTGGATCAAGCTGAATGGATCGACCCCAGAACTTGCCTCTCAGATTCGAATCACCCCAGAATTTCCAACCTCGACCATCACAGTGACATGCAACAACCACAGGGTGGTGACTGACCTGAAATAATCAAATTTAAAATAAGAACATATTTTTAATCAGCCGAGTGAGCACTTCACAAGACACAAAAAGATCGCACTTACATAAAGTTGCGTGGTAATAAGAAAAATAATGTCATGAACTAGGAATTGCTCTATTCGGAAATAACTCATAATCTCTTCAAATAATGACTTTTTGGAGATCCCTAAGAGAGTGTTGAAGAGACTAGACTATAATTGGTCTTGGCTTCTCGCTTCTTTTGGCAATCTGATCAGCATAAAAGAAAATATTGTTTAGCACATTGTGAGATTATGTGTACTCCTGAGGACCAGGGCGGCCTCGGTATTCAAGATTTGGAGGGTATTCAAGATTTGGAGGTTATTGGATATTCAAGCTGTGAATAGAGGGTGGAGATTGACAATCATTGTCGCAAAATAAATATTTGGGGCAAAAACCACTCAGTTCGGTTAAAGACAAGCCAACAGACTCGCATTTTTGGAAGGGCCTTATGAGGTTGAAGGACGCTTTTTTACAAGTCGGTTCACTCAGTATGAAAAATGGGGAATCGCCTAGGTTTTGGGAGGATAAACGGATCGGCATATGCCCTTTTCAGTTATGTACCCGAGATTATTCAACATTGTCTGACATAAGGATGCCATGGTAGCCGCTGTTCTCCGGGTGGCTGTCAGACCCACCAAGGTCTGAAGAACAAGATTCAGACAACTCTCACTCAAATCACAAAACTTAGCAAATTTGGAGCTTAATTGTGGGAATATAGGCCAAGTTAAGATACACCTAAGGGCCAGCCAGGAACACCGGCGGCTAGGGTTTACCCCAATACAGGGAGAATGATCCCAATGTCTGTCTCCAGATACTTGGCTTTACTTACAAATGAGATAAGAACGAAGAAAAAGTAAAACAGAGTAGTTGCCTACTGTAGCCTTTGCGGTAAAGTAACAGCGACGCCTCGGAGTCTTCTATGCCGAATCAACATCGACTGCTTCATCATTACACGCGAAGCGGTACCGAGGAAGGAGGGGCGTAAGATGGTAGATGGACAGCTTGCTTGACTTCACGTGCTCGATAGACGATTCAAACTTAACTGACCAAGAACATGGCTGTCAAATTCTTCAGAGAAGTGTTGGCTGGGTCCTGACAGTGGCGAATCCACTGGTTGATTTCAGCCGGCCCTCATTGGATAGCATTTAAATGACTGGAATGAGATTGTCCTCAAAGTAGCAGAGGTTCAACTAACTCAGGGGCAAGATCTGTTTAAGTGGGATCTTCATACCACATGAGTTTTTTCTGTACACTCCATGTATAGGCCTTAATGTTAAGTGGGTCAGATTTAGATCAAAACAGTTATGGCGTCTGAAACTGCTTCTAAAGGTCAGAATTCCTGTGGTTTTAATGCACGAGGGTAGTCCTTACAAAGGACAATCGAATAAGTGTAAGTGGCAGGGGGGACACATGGTGTAGCTTTTGCTGTGAACAGGAAACTATCCAAAATCCTTTTTTATTGTACCCCTGTCCATGGCTAGTTCGTTGGTGATATTCCAATCCTTCAGATCTCTCTTTACGGACTCCTTCCAATTTGGCTATGCAGGAATGATGTTGACAAAAAGAAATTTCACTCATGTATGCAGGTGCTACTCTGGTGTACCAGTTGCTTGTGGTCATGGGCATTGTTACAAAAGAAGCAATACAAGGAATCCATGAAGCTTGGCGCCAAGTGGCTCGAACAGATTAACAGGGAGTCTATATCCCGGTTTGGATGGTGTGCCAGTGCTAGGCTTCTTAGTTTATAGAGTAGTCTTGGATGCCATATTACTATCGTCTGGTGTTGGTTGATCTTGTTGTTTTGGTATCTTCCTTTTTCTGTTGAGATTGTTGTTTCATGATTATGTAACAAACAATGTAAGAAGTCTGGTTGGATGCATCGATGAGACCAGGGGTAATAATAACTTCAATTATCTAAGAAACAACTACACAACCTTCTCAGAGAAAAAGCGAAGTCCTTTATCTGGATAATCAGCTTCATATGTTTCACCAAGTAGAGGATTGAAGGGTTTGCATTGCCGACCTTCAGTTGAAGCATAGCTTGATACTGCAAAAGCCGCAACAAGAAGTGTCCTCATCAAGCTGTCACCCTGTATTGTATTTCACCAAGAATTTATTCATTGCAAAATACAAATGACGAGTCTCCAGTGCAAAGTAACCTTAGTGCAAAAGGTTAAACTGTTAAAAAGGCATTGTAAACAAGATTGAATAGTGTCTTCCTTCAGTAACCAGAAATATTAAAATAAAATACGGTATACAAGTAAAATAGTAAAATATTATCAAGAAGTACTAAAATTAAATATTTACTAGAAAACCTCGGTCAGTTATAGATGACATATGGAAATCACATATTTTTCAAGGACAAAAGGAAAGGATTGACAGGAAAGCCCCAACTTAAGCAAATATTCCAGAATTTAGAATGAACCGCTGGAGATTATACACTATTGGTCCATCAATTCTTCATAGCAAACACAATTTAGACTCCGAAAAGAATTGATGGATGTAATAATTATTTAAGGTAGAGAATCATGTACTATCTGACTCAACAAGAGTTAGAAAAAAAAAACGTGTTCTTCATAGTAAACTCAATTTAGACTCCAACAAGAGTTGATGGATGTACCTTTCCCTTTTTGCCCCTCACTTAACCCTTCATGCCTAGGACTATATATATACTCTTCTCCCACCTCCTCTCCAGGGTTAGCAAAGATTATATCTAAAACTAAGAGAGCTTTGCTCAGCTACCTCCCATTGTGGGATTCCTCCAATGCCGATACGGTTCCTCATGGAGAACAAGGCCACCTTGCAAGGTGAAGACTCCAAGGAGTTTCAAGACCTCTACTTGTCGAGAAGATTCCCCCATAGGACTTGGGGAAGAACCTTATATTGCTCCCTCTCTCTCTCTCTCTCTTGGATGATTTGAATCAAGGATTAATCCATGTGCATCTTGTTTTCCAACTTGTGTCTTGATTTATGCTAGTTTCCCTCATAATTCCTCTCGTTTTCTCCCGAGTTTTTCGCGTTCTTCCTCAAATCCACCTCCAAATCGTGAAGAGCATCCCCACGGTTTCCCCGTATCATTTGGCATCAAGAGCAAAGTTGCGACGAATTGGAACCCCCTCACCTCCCTTTGCTAGTCTTTTTTTTCCTGCCCAAATTCAAAAATCCCCACCAAAAATAGCACAAAGTCAATTTCAAGTGATTTGTTAGATTTCGTGCAAATTGGTTGGTTTTGCTTCATGGATCTCTTGCATAGTTGCATATCTAGTTGATCTACCTTCCTTTTCGTGGATTTAGCCCTCAAATCC